ACTTGAGGTCGCCATGAGTTGGAGTTGACTCAGTGGCAACTGGTGTGGTTCGGTACTCTTGCAAATATAGTAAAAGTGACATTCCTGAAGGAATGGGGCGTGGCTTTAAGCACTCAGCTGCTAACCGAAAAGTTGGTGGTTCAAATCCACCCAGAGGTACACTGGAAGAAAGGCCTGACTATCTATTTCTGAAAGATCAGCGCCATTGAAAACCCCACGGAGCACAGTTCTACTCTGACACATATGTGGTCGCCATGAGTCAGCGTTGACTCAATGGCAACTGGTAGGCAGCAAAGGCTGAGGCGTGAGTTGGATGGATTTCTACAGACTGCATCTAGATGGTTCTGTCTCATCCCTGGGCCCAGAATCAGCACAGGCCTGCCCACAAGGCTGCCCCCACCCCGACCCAGTGCTTGCTTGTAGCCCTTCCTTTTCCTGCCCCTGAGGCACCCCCACCATGCTGTGGAGGTTTCCTGGCAAGGAAGAAACCCGTGTGTGCTGCAGGGCAAGAGCTGTGGGTGGCCGCTTCCATTTTAAGAATATTCTAGGAGCACCTCCTGGAAGCAGGCACTGTCCTGGGCCCAGGGCTATAACCATAAACATCCTCTACAGAAACCCTGCCGTCATGGAGCTGACATTCTAGGGAGGGTTCAGCCTGGGGTTGGTGACGAGACCTTGGGAGAGGTTCAGGTTTTAGTTCTGAGCTAAAAGGAATGAGATGATGAGGCAGGGGGGCTCTGTCACACTCCACTCCCTGCCCCTGACTGGGCGCTGGGCAAGGAGATGCCCTCTTTCAGGGGGTAGAGGGAGGAGGTATCAGCATTTTCCAGACTATCAGAGGGCAATGCTCAACCCAAACAAGGAGTGTGCTGATGGTGGGATTGGGGCACCAGAGCTAAGCCAGCAGGGGGCATGTCAGCAGAAGCCCTGACCCTGAGCTTCCGGCTCTAAGGCTCCCCAGCTCCAGATGTCTGCCCCTTAGTGGGACACGTGGGCAAGGACGCAGTCACAGCCCCACCCACCAAGCTGCCCTCTAAGTGCCTCTGGCCACATCCTCACTCACCCTGTGCCTCCCCTGGAAGACCCTTCCTTGCATCCAAGCCATTCCTTCTGTCTGGCTCCAGTGCTTCTCTTATGGGTCATCCCCCACCCCCAGCCTGGAGTTTGTGCTCAGCCATCAAGAAGTGCCCTTGGTACCTTTTCTGTATGAAGGCAGTGGTGGCTCAGTGGTAGAATTCTCCCCTTCCATGCAGGAGACCTGGGTTCAATTCTAGCCAGTGCACCTTATGCACAGCCACCACTCATCTGTCAGTGTAAGCTAGCATGTTGCTATGATGCTGAACAGGTTTCAGCAGAGCTTCCAGACTAAGATGGACTAGGAAGAAAGGCCTGGCCATCTACTTCTGAAACCAGGCAATGAAAATCCTATGGATCAGAACACAATAGATGAATCCTGAAAAAAGGAAGACTATGGAACAGATCTTCAAAGTCTTAAGGAATCCAGACTTACTGGATTTATGGAGTCTGGAGCAGTCCCCAAGACTATGTCCTTGAGTTCAAACCTCAATTGGAAACTATCCCCTGAAGTCACCATTAAACTAAGTAACAGTGTAGCCCAAAGAGTAAAGATTGTCACCCTTGAGTATTGTAGGTTTTTTGTTTGTTTGTTTATCTATAAAAATCGAAGTGTCAATAGCTATTTTAAAGCACAGATGAGAAGGTTGGTAGGCAGGGACTTTAAGTAAATGGAAGTGAAACAGCTAGAACCAACAACGGAATGTTGACACAATGTGAAGAACGTAGCCAATGTCATTGATCATTATGTCTAGAAACTGTAGAATGGGAGTGGGTTTTGCTGTGTATATTTTCACCAAAAATAAAACTAATAAAAAATAAAACCCTGTGGATCACAACGGTCTGATCCGCACGCAATCATGGAGAGGCGCAGGACCAGGTAGCGTTTCATACCATTGTGTGTGGCGTCGCCATGAGTCGGGGGCCGATGTGACAGCGGCTCACAACAGCTGTTGTGTAAGAATGGATTTGGGGAGTCGATGGAAGCAGGTGAGCCCAGGGGTGGAGGCTGTTGAGAGCAGACGGATTTGGGAATTGGAGGGTGGAGGAATCAGTAATGTCTGGCTATGGCGTTGGGAGGGAGACCCCAGGGTCTGCCTTGGGTGGCTGGGCGATGGGGCAGCCGGGCGGAGGCCGTGTGGGGGGCAGACAGCAGGCCACCACGGCCTTGGCGTCTGGAGCCTCGCGTGTCTTGCAGAAGTGGCAGTGTGTCGAGGACGCCACGGGGAAGCTGAAGCTGCATAAGTGCAAAGGCCCCGAGCGGCTCAGCAGTGGCGGCAGCAGAGCCCTCTCCAACCTGGTGCCCACGTACTACGGGCAGGGCAGCGAGGCCTGCCCCTGCGACCGCGTGGACTACAAGCTCAGCCTGGCCGGGCGCCGGAAAAAGGTCTTCAAGAAGAGTAAGCGCCGCGGCCTGGGTGAGGCGGGGTGGGAGGAGAGAGACCACGGCCTTGCAGCCTCATTCGTTCATCCAAACAATCCCATCAACTCTTACTACCAGTGCCAGGAATTGTTCTAGAATATTCTAGGATGTTGCTGGGGACACAGCAAACACCCGCACACCCTGTTCACCCAAATGGGGAAAAGCAGTAATACGTAAAGAAATAGGATGACTTGAAGAAACAGCAGTGGGGCAAAGAGGACAAGGAGTGACTTATGAGGGGTGAGGTCTCAGTGAGGAGGTGAAATCTGTATGGAGCCAAAAGATGTGCAGATTTGAGGAAAGAGAGGTCCAGGGCCAGGGAACAGCAAGTACCATGGAGGCAGGAGAGACCTCAGCGGGGCCACAAAACAGGAAAGACGCTTAAGAGGGGAGTGGGGAGGAAGGCAGATCACCAAGGGTCTGTGAGGGCAGGGGAAGCTTTTGGGCTTTTGTCTCCACCTGCAATAGGAAACTCCTGGAAGGTTGCAAGCAATTGTTTAATTGCTTGCAATTAATAGTCCCCTTGATTGTTAGGTGGGGACCGGATTTGGGTGGGGTCAGTGCTGGGAACAAGGAGATTGGTTAGGGGGTGACAGTGGAGGGTGGACACGAGGGTGACGGCGGAGCTGGGAGAGCTGCCGGGTGCGAGGACTTGGTCTTGGTGAGACCTGGTCAGCTGGCTACAAGTGTCCCCTCCAGAGCCGGGCAGTGTCCCATGCCGCCTATTTCTCTGGTCCCTTGACCCCAGGACCAAACACAAAAACCAAACTTATTGCCATCATCAGTTCCAACTCATAGCAACCCCACTGGACAGAGGAGAACTGCTTGCTCCGTAGGGTGTTCTAGGCTGTAATCTTTATAGAAGCAGATCTCCAGGTCTTTCTTCTGTGTCGCGGCTGGTCGGGTTCAGACTGCCAACCCTTAGGTTAGTGATCAGGCACAAACCATCGGCACCACCCCGGGACCCTGATCCCAGGGCCGCCACGGCTAGTTAGATATTTCGATGTCAAGGGGCAGGTTTGGTGGGTTCCTCGGTGGCTCCGCCAGCCTCTCCAGCCCTGGCCCAGAACACCTTCATTACAGAGCCAACAAGTCTCTCCCTATAACGACCTGACTCCTGCTGCAGACCCGCATTATCCTTTCTCATGAGCTGATTAGTAACTACGAAGCTAATCTTTTTAGCTGAATAAAATTATTGGTTCCCAGATTGAATTACACAGCTAACACCTCCTTAAACGGAAAAATGATCTTTAAATAATACAAGAACTTGCGACTCAATTAAGCTTCCCCCCACCCCACCAATAATGCTTAGAGGAATAACAAATGGCACCTAAATAGCAGGAGACTCAGCTCAACCCTGGAAGTTGAGTCCTCGCGTGAGGATGGTGTGACGTCCAAGCCATGTCACAACAGCCCTGCGAGGCAAGACAGAAACCGCCCCTTCTTCGCAGCCAAGGGGAAAGACAGGGTCACACAGCCGACTGGGGGACACAGGCCCCCTCTCCTGGCCCAGCATCTTTCCTCCTGCATGTACATGCCGACAAGACCCTCTTTGTCCCTCTTTTCCAGGCAGACACCCCACAGTGTAGGGGTTTTCAGCCAGGGGTGGTTTTGCCTCCCTGCCCCTGGGGACATGTGACAATGTCTGGAAACACTTCTCGTTGTCACAACTGGGAGTGGGGAGCCCCAGGCATCTAGCGGGTAGAGGCCAGGGATGCTGCTAAACCTCTACAATGCACAGGACGGCCCCCACGTCAGAGAATTATCCAGCCCCAAATGTCAATAGTGCCGAGGTTGGGAAGCCTGGTGTAGAGCAGCAGACCCCAGCACCCTGATCGCTTGGCTCCAGGCTCTGGTGTAGGGAGGGCAGGCCAACCAGCCAGTCCAGAACAGAGAGGTGACCCAGGCACAGGGGTAAGAGATGAGCCTCTGGGGATGGGCCCAGTCTGCCTGGTGTTTATTCATTTACGTTTCCAACAAATCTGCAAGGACCTAGGAAAGTCCCCGGGTGGTGCAAACCACCTGGGCTCGACAACTAGCCCAAAGGTTGGTGGTTCAAACCCACCCAGCAGTGCCACAGAGGAAAGGCCTGGTGATCTGCTTTCATAAAATTTACAGCGAAGAAAACCCTATGGAGCAGTTACATGCTGTTACAAATGGGGTGATCGTGGGTCGGAATTGACTGGACAGCAACAGGTTTGGTGGTGGTTTTTTTAACTATGTGCCAGATGCCGATGTTACAGAGTGGAACAGAGGGACATAGGCATGAGCCTCACGGGCGAGACAGGGTGGAAAGGGCAGGAAGGAAACAAGGTGCTTGTGTGACAGGGTGGAGAAGGGTGGTCCCTTCAGAATGGGGTGGTCAGCTGACATTTAAATGAGCTGAGTATGTCTTAAAACCAAACAACCGTTTAGCTTAACTAGTAAAGAATGTCCGCTTTGAGCACTGTGTTCTTTTAAGAACAATATTTTGAAATCAAATTGACAACCGCAACTCAAAAGGTTAGACAGGAAGCTTGGGGGGCAGTGAGTTTATGTTAATGGGGGAGGAACAATTCAGAAAAGGAGGGTGAGAATAGTTGTACAACTCTAAGAACGTAATCAACGTCACTGAATTGTACATGTAGAAATGGATGAATCGGTGTTATGTTTTGTTGTGTATACTCTCCCAACAACAACAACAAAAAAAAAACGAGCTGAGAACGGAGCAGGAACAGGCCTGTGACCAGCAGAGAGCGCTCACTCTATCTGTAGAGGTGGGCCGGGCAGCTCCGAAGCCCAGTGGGAAGGAGGAGGTTTGCAGGTCCCAGCCGCAGAGATGAGGCAGGTGAGGCCTGAGCGGTGAGACAGAGCGGTTCTCATGGAGCTTTCCAGGCCTGGGGCGCGTCAAGGCCCCAGGTTGTTAGAGAAGTCGGCACTGCCTGAGAACATAGCTGCTCAGAAGTTGCTGAAACTGCCCGTGGTCACTCATTTGTCACACGTGAACCCAAGCCCTCTGATCCTAGCGTGAGCCCTCGGCCTCTGCTTCCGTAGTCCCCACCCCCTCTTAGCATGTGTGGCAGGGGGTACCCTCTGGGACCCTGGAAACAAAGACACCGAGGGTAACGGGAGAGGGAGTGGTGTGGCTTCAGCAAAGGGTTTATTCAGAGATTGGCAAACTTCTCCTGATAGTACATATTTGAGGTTTTGTGGGCCACAAAGGCTCTGTTCTTGCAACCACTCACCTCTGCCGTTATAGTGAGGAAGTAGCTGTTGTTGCTGTCGGGTGCCGTTGAGTTGATTTCAGCTCATAGCGACCCCCTGTGACAGAGCAGAACTGCCCCATAGGGTTTTCTAAGCTGTGATCTTTATGGGAGCAGAACGCCAGGCCTGTCTCCTGCGGAGCTGCTGGATCGGTTCAAACCACCAACCTTTTGGTTAGCAGCCGAGCACTTAACCCATTGGACAAGGAGAAAACAAATGGACAAGGCCGAGTTCCAGTGAAACCTTACTTAGAAAAACAGATGGAAGCCCCAGTTCGGCCGTTAAACCAGGGTTTGCGGACCCCTGGGTTTATAGGTGGAGGCCAGGAGGCCAAGCAGCTACCTCAGCAGCAGGTGAGACAAAAGGAGCAGAAAGAACAGGGCAGGTATCTTTCACGGCCCTCTTGGGCAGGTATATGGTGCTCAGCACAGGGAGCTTTGCTCAGCCTGGTGTGCAGCGGGGAGACCGGGGGCTGTGGCTCCAGGAAGACTGGACTCTGAGGAAAGAAAGCTGCCCCTCGGCTGAAAAAGGGCCAAGGCTTTGCAAAGAGGGCAGGCCTCCAGGTCCTCGAGGAGTCCTTGGCCCTTGTGACTCTCAAACAAGGAGTCTGAAAGCCGAGTGATACAAATAGTCTGCCTAAGAGTTGGGGTAGCAAGGCAGAGACCCTGGAGCCACAGGGCCATGGTAGGGGGAGGGGTGTCCCTCCCTCCCATCTCCTTCCCCCTAAGGCGGCACCACCAGCACCGCCGGCCTCAAGCCAGTCCCAAGGTTGCCATCTAGTGGTCATTTGCGGCCCAACAGAAAGCTAAGCCCATGGCGGACGCCAGGCCCTCTAAACAAAGATGGACGTTTGTAGCAGGATGGCAAACTCAGACGCATGCTGGGGCCGGACATGAGTATGAGGGAAGAGTTTTTAAAAAGAAAGAAGTGGGGACTGTGGAAAACCGGAAAATACATCACCCTGTCTAAAGGAGGAGTCCTGAGTGGTGCAAACAGTTAAGGCGCTCAGCTGCTAACCAAAAGTTTAGAGGTTTGAATCTACCCAGAGGCACCGTGGAAGAAAGGCCTGGCAATTTATTTCTAAAAAATCAGCCATTGAAAACCCTATGACCAAAGACTCAAAGAAGAAGTTCATCTACAGGACTAATAGTCCACAAAACCACAGCCTCATCTACCCCGAGACCAAAAGAACTAGATGGTGCCCAGTTACCACTGCTGACCGTTCTAATGAGGGCCACAATAGACGGATCCTGATAGAAAGGGAGAAAAATGTGGAACAGAACCTAAAATTCCTAAAAAAAAAAACAAAAAACAAGACTTACTGGACTGGTTGAGACTGGAGGACTGTTGCCCTGAGATACACTTCAAACCTTGAACCAAAACAAGTCCCTGAGGCCACTTTGTAGGTAAATAACAGATTGGCTCACAAAATATTACTGTGCTCCTTTAAAAAACCACCTAGATGAGACCGAACGGTCAACAATTACTTTAAAACAAAGATGAGAATGTAAAGGGGCAGGGAACTAGATTAATGGAAACAGAACAACCAGAAGAGAAATAATGAGAATCTACACACGTTGTAAAGAATGTGACCAGCGTCACCAAACAACTTGTGTAGAAATTGTTGAATGGGAACCTAAACTGCTATGTGAATCTTCACAGAAAACACAATAAAATGTTATTTTAAAAAAGAAAGAAAACCCTATGAGGTACAGTTCTACCCTGACACACATGGGGTCACCATGCATCAGAATTGACAGCAACTGGTACTGGTTTGTAGAAAGGGGGCAGCCCCCTCAGCTCCAGCTCTCCTTACCACTAGGACTCACTGTGGGCACATCTTCCATTTCCTTTTCACCCACCCCATTTTTCCTAGATGTTAGCAACTCGGTCAAATTTGCTTCTTAATATATAGAAGATAGAACAGGACCTCTGGGGTCCGCCGTTAGCCAGCACACTCTCAAGCACACCTTTTCAACATCTGACGTAGAGCCCACACAAAAGTGCTGCCGGTCCTCGTCTCACTGCTGGGGAAATGGAGGCTCAGAGCTAATTAACCTCCCCAAGGCTCACCCTTTCTATCCAGAGAAGTGTGCTGTGTAGCTTTTTTTTTCCCTACCAATTTAAACCAGTATTTTTATATGTCCATGTTACTTTATTTTCATTGAGGTGAAACGCACATAAAAGCAATCATTTCATGCAGAACAGAATTTCAAATTCTCATGGAATCCAGACTTCCCAGAACCATGGAGGCTGGATGAACCCCCGAAACTACTGCCCTGAGATAATCTTTAAACCTTAAACCAAAAATAGCCCTTGACGTCTTCTTAAAACCAGAGTTTAGCTTAACTAGTGAAGAAAGTCTGCCTTGAGTGTTGTGCTCTTTTAAGAACTTTCTATGTGGAATCAAACTGACAACAGCAACTAGAAAAACGAGATAGGAACCTTAGGGGCAGTGAGTTTGCGTCAACGGAGAGGAACAATTTGGAAAAGGAGGGTGAGGATGGCTGCGCAACTTGAAGAATGTAATCAGTGTCACTGAACTGTACAGGTAGAAACTGTTGAATTGGTGTGTGTTCTGCTCTGCATGTTCTGAGTAACAACTAAAAATTGACCGTTTTAAAGTGAACAATTCAGTGGCATTTAGTACATTAATAATGCTGTGCACCCACTGCCTCTGTCTAGTTCCCATCTTCATCATCGCAAAAGGAAACTCCACAGCCTTTAGCAGTCACTTTCCACCCCGCCCCCCCAAGTTCCTGGCAACCGCCAATCTTCCTCTCTATGGATTTGCCTATTCTGGACATTTCATATAAACGGAACCATGCAATATGTGACCTTTTGTGTCTGACTTCTTTCACTTAACAATGTTTTCAAGGTCCAGCCTGTTGTAGCATGTATCAGTACTTCATTCCTTTTTATGGCTGAGTAATATTCCACTGAGGGAGTTCCTGGGTGGCAAAAATGGTTAAAGCAGTTGACTACTAACTGAAAAGTTGATGGTTCAAACCCACCCAGAGGCACCTCAGAAGAAAGTCCTGCTGATCTGCATCCGAAAGATCAGAGCCACGAAAACCCCGTGGTGCAGTTCTACTCTGTTTAACACATGGGTCCCCATGAGTTGGAACTGACTTGAGGGCAGTGGGTTTTTGGTTTACTCTTCCATTGTATGCACGGATATACCGCAATTTATCCATGTATAGCTCTTTCTTGAAATTATCTCAGTCAGTTCCTTCTTAGCTCTGGGACTTAAGTTTCCCCAGTGTAACTCCACTGAGGTCCAGAATCCGCTTCATGGGTAGACAGATTTCATGAGCCCTCAAGTCTCAGACAACGCTGAGCCTTATGCTTGGAGCTCATGGGCCTGGCCATATCATGATTAAAGGACTAGGGAGTTTGGCCAGTCCTTTCCAGCCTTCTAACCCCAGTCACCCCCCTTTGACATCCACAGAGTACAAGGCCAGCTATGCCCATAACCGCTACATCCGCTCAGTGGCCATTGAGTTGGATGGTGAGGTGTACCACGTGGGCCTGGATGACGCATCCCAGCCGCGCAACCTTACCAAGCGGCACTGGCCAGGGGCCCCTGAAGACCAAGATGACAAGAACGGTGGGGACTTCAGTGGCACTGGAGGCCTTCCAGACTACTCAGCCCCCAGCCCCATTAAAGTAACACACCGGTGAGAGCCCAGGCAGAGTCAGAGGTGCGGGGGGCAGGCTGGGCCTTGGCAAGGCTGCCCACTGCCACCCTTGGTCCCTCAAGGCTACACATGATCCCTTCTCTCAAGCAGGTGCTACATTCTAGAGAACGACACGGTCCAATGTGACCTGGACTTGTACAAGTCCCTGCAGGCCTGGAAAGACCACAAGCTGCACATCGACCACGAGGTGAACAGAAGCTGGGCTGGGAGCACATTCTCAGCCATCGTGAGCTTGGGGGCCCCACCATCCACCCCGGGGGGCAGTGAGGCCAGACCCAGGGAAAAAGGCCCTACTGCAGCTGGAGGAATTGAGTGAGACCAGTGGCCAGAGAGACGAAGGGTGGCCCCACAGGATCCTCACCCAGGGACCCTAGCATTGGTAGGGGAATGCAGGCTGCTGCTGAGCAGGCAACCAGGCCGGTGAGGGCAGATCATGAGGCCAGCCCCTCTCTCCCGGCCCCGCCAGAGTTTCAGGGCCTTGTCTGCTCCCTCCCTCAGATCGAAACCCTGCAGAACAAAATTAAGAACCTGAGGGAAGTCCGCGGTCACCTGAAGAAAAAGCGGCCAGAAGAATGTGATTGCCACAAAATCAGGTGAGGCAGCACAGGGCCCCCAGCCTGGGCACCATTCCTGGGCACGCAGTGTCCCCTCAGCAATGCCTTTCATTATCTTCTACCCCGTCTCCCCACCTCAGGGTGAAAAAAAATCATTAATAATTTCCATCCCCATTATTAGCCATGGGGGCATATATAAAACCCCTCAGGATGCCAGCCAGACACCCATATTCATGTACTGCTAACAGGAAGCAGACTCAATGCGTGAGTGGGCTCCCAGGTAGGGAAAATGGTGTCTGCCCTTTTGGAAATGACCCCTGTGGCTCCAGGTCCCCAGTGTCAGCTCAGGGAACCCCTGGCCTAAGGGACCGCACTCTCAAGCAGCACTGTACAACAGAACTTCCTGCGTAGGTGGCAGCGGTCTACGTCTGTGCTGTCCAGTACAGTAGCCCCTAACCACGTGGCTACTGAGCCCTTGAAAGGTGGCTAGTTTAACAGGAACTGCATTTTTTATTTAAATAGCCGCATGTGGCAAGTGGCTCCTGTATTGGACAGCACAGCTGTAGTCCCTGCTAACTTTCTAGAAAGGGCTCGCAAAATATGGGTCCCAGTGCTGGCCTCTAACCAAGCCCGGAGTGAGGTGGGGGCTACCTGGGGAGGCTGAGGCTTGAACAACCGGCTGCTAGCATCTCCCCCAACCTTCTCAAGTCTGGCCAGAGAGTTTCAGCCAGTGGCTCCAGCCAGCCAGACAGGGAGCTGCTGCCCTGGGATAGCTTCCCCTACCACCACCCCAGAGGGGAGGGGTGGGGCAGCAGGAACACAGGGGAACCTGAGGAAACTGCAGGGGCCCCGAGAGCCCTTTCTGAGCTGGGCTGGGGTCTGTTCCAGTTACCATGCCCAGCAGCACAAAGGCCGCCTCAAGCACAAAGGCTCCAGTCTGCATCCTTTCAGGTAAGGGGCGGCAACCCAGCAGCCCAAGGCCCAGATACAAACAAGGAAAACAAAGACGTCTGGGTCTTCCCCCTGGGCCTTCCCCCAGGAAGTCAGTCTGGCAGCCCTCGAAGAGGTCTTTCTCCCACATTAACAGAGGTCTCCAGACGCCCCCTCGTGGCCAAAGCGAGTTGCTGTAGCCTCGCCAGGCAGGGGCAGTGCACAGGGAGGGGGGTGTGAGCAGGAGTGCAAGGATCCCACCTCTCTGCTGCCCCAGAGCTGAAGCAGAGTCCGGGAGGATGGGAGACTGGGTTCTGGCACCTGCTCTGCCATAGACCACAGCGGGAATCCTCTACTGCTAGGCTCCCCAGCTCTTCTGGGGAGGTCTCAGCCAGCCTCTGGGAGGCAGAAGCAGCAGAGGCTCAGGGTCACTGACCACTGTTGTTGCCATCAAGCCAATTCCAACTCACGGCAACCCTATGTGCAGAGTAGAACTACTCCACAGGGCTTTCAAGGCTGTGACCTTTCGGAAGCTGATCTCCAGGGCTGTCTTCCGAGGCGCCTCTGGGTGCCTCTGAACCGCCAACCTTTTGGTTAGTAGTCCAGCGTTTGGCCATTTGCACCACCCAGAGACTGCTCATTGATCCCCGGGAGGCTCTCAGGCGGGGCCTGAGGAGTGTGAGGGCTGTGGTGCTGTGTGCCCATAGGAAGGGTCTGCAGGAGAAGGACAAGGTGTGGCTGTTGCGGGAGCAGAAGCGGAAGAAGAAACTCCGCAAGCTGCTCAAGCGGCTGCAGAACAACGACACGTGCAGCATGCCGGGCCTCACGTGCTTCACCCATGACAACCAGCACTGGCAGACGGCGCCCCTCTGGACCCGTGAGCGAGCGGGAGACCCAGGGCAGGGGGGCAGGGCCCAGAGGGGCTTCTCCAAGGCCTCAGAGTGATCTAGCGGCCAGGATGCCTCCTGCCCCACAACTGCACTTGTGTGTGCTCCGTGCCAGGCCCCATAGGCCTTTCAGGAACAGGTCCCCTGCCATCAGGGTCAGCACATGCCCCAGTCACTTGGCACCTGAAGAACAGGTGTGGAGGGCCCGTCGGGAGGCTGGGCATCTTCCTGCAGGCACGTGGAGCATCGTCTCTCTCCCCCCTTGGCAGTGGGGCCCTTCTGTGCCTGCACCAGCGCCAACAACAACACGTACTGGTGCATGCGGACAATCAACGAGACCCACAATTTCCTCTTCTGTGAATTTGCAACCGGCTTCCTAGAGTACTTTGATCTCAACACAGACCCCTACCAGGTACAGAAAACAAAAGTTGAAGAAGGGGGGGTGGGAAGCAGGGGTAGGGAGTGCACAGGAGCTGCCAGTTAGGTTCCTGGGGAGGTGGCGATAAAATTTCCCACGTCCTGTTGAGTCCCTAAGACACTGAGTTATGAAGCCACTGGGAACTGGAGGACTCAGTTCAATTCGTCCTTCTCTGCCTCCACCTTCCTTGTCTGTGACATGGTATTGTACAGTCCCCCCTCTTAGGAAAATGTCAGTGTCCAACCAGGCTTTGCAGGAACTTTGGAAGACCGCTAGAACTGGACTGCTGCAGGGGTCCTGAAGGCCACATCAAATACGGCACACTCCAGGGCCTACAGGGACCATGCAGTGTACAATTAACTCACACTTCCATTTATTAAGTCACCTAACATATCAGTGACTGGAACGGCCCAGAGCCACTCACAAAGGAAGCAGCGAGTGTGGTCTGTAAAGAGCGTGCCCACGCGACGGTCACTACTGAGCAGCACTAGTGCCTCTCAGGGTTGTGGCCTTGGTTTTGTCCAATCTTCAATGTTTTGAGAAAAGCCTGAAGACAATTTTTTACGTGAACTCTGATCCTTACATGTCAGCTGCTACATTTAATTTAGTTTGCTTTTAGAACAAGCAGGCTGCCAGTTTTCCTTCTCGGTTAAGTCCAGCCCTGCATTTTACAAAAGGGGGTGGAGAAGTTGTGGGTTAGTTGGTCACTGGTAGCTCCCATACTAGGGAAGGACCCAGGTGTCTTAACCAGCCCATCATCAAAAGGCAGCTTTCCCAGGAACTGAGGGACTATGAGTAAAGGCTGCTTAGAAATACAAGGCTTGGAATACAGTCGTTCCAGGAGTTCAGGGCTAAGTACACAAAGGTGGCTTTTATTCTCATGGAGAGGGGGACCTGGTGAGGCTAGAAGCCAAAACGCAGTCCTGACTACTCCGAACTCTGCTCTTGCAGAAGTGGAGGCTGGGGCGAGCGGGGCACCATCCCATACCACCTTTCATTCCTTACCTGCCTGAAAGAAGTCCCCTGGTTTGCAGGAGAGGATGGGGGGTCCCCGTGCTCACCTTGTTCACAATCTGCCTTTTCTCCAACCAGCTGATGAATGCCGTGAACACGCTGGACAGGGAGATCCTCAATCAGCTGCACGTACAGCTTATGGAGCTAAGGAGTTGCAAGGGTTACAAGCAGTGTAACCCCCGGACCCGAAACATGGACCTGGGTGAGTCAGCGCCCCTGTATGGGGCAAACTGCCTGCAGAGGCAGGGGGTAACCATAGGAAGGAACATAGGACGTCCTGGTGTGTCCCAAAGAGTGAACCAGAAATCACCCGCGAGTTGGGAGTGATACAAGACCAATCATTTGTAAAGGTCTGGATGCCCCTACCCACATCAGGCAATGCCATGGACTTCCTGAGAGCAGCACCCTGACCACCTGCACAGCAAACACAGAATTCTTGTATTTTCTTCCATTTCATTTATTCATTCAACAAACATTTATTAAGAACATAAACCTGGACCCATGCTGGTTACTGGAAAGGAAAAAGATGAACACATTCTCACGTGGGCTTGCATTCTGCTGGGGACAGCAGTCCATAGTGGGAAGCCTCTTCCCTGTATGGAGTAAACAGGATGATGTAATACAGCCTCAGGGTGGGAGGGGGCAACACTCGATACAGTGGGGTCAGGGACAGCCCCTCCAGAGACATCTGCGCAGAATCTGGAAAAGTAGTAGTCCACCTTGTGAAAATGTGGAAGGCTGGCATTCCAGGAGATCTGAAGTGGAAACAAGCTCTGAGATGTCTGAGGAGCAGAAAAGAACCCAGTGTAGCTGGTTTTAGGTGCCTCAAGAAGCCAGTAGAGCGCTCTAACCCGGGGAATGGACAATCTTCATTTAAAAAGAATCCTCTAGTTGCTATGTAAGGAGCCCTGGTGGTGCAGTGGTTAAGCGTGCAACTGCTAACTGAAAGGTCATTAGTTCAAACCCACTAGAGGCCCTACAGGAGAAAAGACCTGGCAATTTACAGCCTAGGAAGCCCTATGGGGCAGTTCTACTCTGTCACTGTTGTGTCAGGTCACTGTGAGTCGGAAACAACTGGACAGCACACAACAACAGTTGCTAAGTGCCCATGCCCACCTCCCCCACCATGACCAGGGCCAGGAACCAGGAGAGGGGATTGTATGGGGGAAAGCTGAGTGACACAGGAGTCCAGGGGAGAGATGATGGTGGCCCGCACTTAAGGAAGTAGCAGTGAAGGAGGATTTAAGATTTAGATCATGAAGCCTACAGAACATGGTGATGGGGGCAGGGGGTAAAAAAGTAACAAAATCAGGAGTCACAGATGACTCCTGGGTTTTACGCAGGACACAGTCGGGAGTCCTGTCTTTGAGTTTAGGATATCAACTGGATAACTTTTTAAAAAGGAGGAAACCATCCACTTACTAGCTACAGCACACTGCAGACAGAATGGCCCACAAACCTTTGGCTTTGAAGGCCCTTGCGAATCTTACCTGTATCTAGTAAGACCCATAAAGTTCACATCAGGAAAACAGCTAAGCAGCTGAGGAGAATCCAGATGGTGCAGTCAGCACTGGTTATCAAGAGGGGGCGAGCAGACGCACTTACAGAATACATCCCCAAAACGCTGCCTGCTGCAAACCAGCCACTATCAGAATTCTGATGCTGAAACATCACCTACTCTCATGATCGTGAGTGTAATCGTTTGTTGACCACTCACTGTGCCCAGGCACCATGTGAAGTGCTTTACGCGCATTACCCTACTTCATCCTTAGGACAACCCTCTGAGGCCAATCTTCCGTCCTCGTTTTAGGGATGTGTAAAGTGAACCGGGTGGGCTGACTCCAAAGCCCATGCACTTGACCATGCTGCCGTGTCCTCTGGAAACCTTCCAGAGAGCCCAGACACACGGAATTTCCTACCACCTTGCCTTTCTTGTGGCCCGTGGCTTCGCATGAGTGTTAGGGCCCATGTCCACTGCCCCCCCCATCACAGGGCCATTGCTGAATGAACGCATCAGGGTCCTAAAATGGATGTGACGACACTAGACCCTAGGCAATCTACCAGGCAACCTAGGAGTCTCAGGGAGAGTTGCCCTCGTGATTTGATCCACTTTGACTAGGGAACTGTGACTAAAAGCCTGAAGTGTTTTTAAGCGGGGGGGATGTGGTTTGTCACTGCTTATGCCATTTTTGCCCTAAACTGTCTGTTCCTAATGTCTCCCTCACTTAGGACTTAAAGATGGAGGAAGCTACGAGCAATACAGGTATCCGATTTTGTTTTGAAAGCCTAAGGGCCCGTCTCAGTCCATTAGTCTAATCTCTGTGAGGATGCATGTGTCCTGTGGAGAGACTGCCCTCCCCTCTGGTCTGCCGGGGGCCTGGCTAACCGACTGGTGATAGGCATCACCTAAGGAGACCTTCTGTGTATGGTTCTTTGGGGATGGCTGTTTCTTTCTTGGTGATGGTTAACACTCATTCTCCTTTTGACACTTGAAAACTTAGGCAGTTTCAGCGTCGAAAGTGGCCAGAAATGAAGAGACCTGCTTCCAAATCACTGTGAGTTGAGGAACCAGTTTACACACACAGCGCTGGTTCTGGCTTGCTTCGTTCAGAGGCTTTTCTGGATGCATGCCATTTTGCATCTGCTCCCCTCATCCATTCCCATAATGAGAGAGGAGGCAGGCATGTGCTTCCTGTAAGATAACACACTGGGATACGTTTTATGTTATAGATGAATACCTTGTCACCTTGTCTAATGCACTGCTGTTCTCTACGTAATAATCTGTGCTTGGTAAATTCACAGTATTATTTAGGTTAAGAAGCGTTTAACTAGTAAAACTGCCAGGCATCTTGAAGGCTGTGGCTGCAAATGAAAGTGCTGACTGGTCCGTAATGTCAGCAGCAGGGTGGCCCCATGTAAATGGTTTCCCAAACTCCATGCTACAGAACTCTCACTTCAGTGCCAGTAGGGCTGAGGGGAGGCTGTGGCCATCTGGGAAGTTCACAACTAGTCTATAGGGAGCTGCTAGTTTGTTCCAAGCAGGAATGAGATGCAGCTTGCCAGCTCTTCTAACTCACTGAGACAACGCAGATAGATATATGTTAAAAACTCTTTTTTAATGTTGGCAGCTGATTTGATATTAGGATACCACGCAAGCGAACCAACACCCTCAGAGAGCTGCCATTTGCAATCTCTGCTCTACAGATTTTTCTATATATGTATATAAACCTCTGTGGCTTTAACAGGGCAATAAAATTAAGAATTACGGCACAGAATCTTCACAGCTTACACTCTCTTTAGCCACTATTCTGTCCAGATCCTTAAATGCCATCTTTGCTAGCCATGGAGTGTGTGAGCCACCTGCAAACCTGAGGACTGGGTGGTAGCAAACACCTTCTGAGTAACCTAAATAGTCCTCAGCAGCCACATCCTTGAAGCAAAGCTAACACAGCTGTATGACTAAGAAGTGGGTAAGCAGCAGTCAAGTACTAATCTGAGTTTGCTTTGTTCTACAGGGGACAACTGTGGGAGGGCTGGGAAGGCTAAGAAGTACCGAGATGACCTCCAAACCTAGAGGGGCTTCATGACTAGACAGCAATGTACGCTGCACAAGCGGTGAAAACCACGTGTGATTTCAAGCAGACCTGTGCTGCTAGCCAGGAGGCCTGAGACAGACCTTGCTTTCAATCAACATGGCAAATTCTGGAGGATAACCATCAGGAGTAGAGCTACTTCAGGAAGTCCATTTTTGCACCTGCTTTTGCTTTGGATTATACCTCACCAGCCGCACAAAATGCATTTTCCTATCAAGAAGTCACCACTAACACTAACCCTCTCTGCGAGGCTCACAAGGGAAAAAGAACAGAGAGAAATATTTTCTTGGAAATTTCCCCCAAGGGTGAAAGTCACTGGATTTTTTTCTTTTTTTTAAAATCATAGGGGAACAACAATCCTGTTTCAAATCCTCTTACTCTTCTGGCTCATCACAAAGGAACTAAGAAACAAGACAGAGGCAACTTGCAGATAGATGCTGGAAACAGTGCAAAGATTTTGATAATGAGTCAATAGCACAAAAAAAAGGGACCATTTATCTAGCACTATAACCCTAGTTGCCTCTGAAGAAACGGATTTCACTGTATATATGTGACCATTTAAATGTAACCAACATGGGAACTTTTAGGGGAATCTAATTAAGAAAACCCAATTTTCTAGAGTGGTGATGTCAATAAACGCTGTGGCCAGTGTTAAGAAAACTCCTCGCAGTTGTAGACATGTCTGTTCCTGCGCAGATACCATTTCTCTTGGTGTTCCTTTGTGATCTGTCCTGGAACTGATGTTTTTTAAGGTACTGAAAAGAAATTAAGTTGATGTATGTCCTAAGTTTTAATGAAATTTTATTTGTAAAGAAATTTTGTAGTGTATTGTCATACAATGTTCAAAACCCTAGCCAATGACCAGCCGTCGGTATGAAGCACCTTTGACGTTTTGTAAAAGGCCACTCTTGGAGTTACTTGGTTGTGTTTGGTTTTAGAAAAGAATCATCAAGGTACTACCAGTGAACACCATTTTGGAAGGAGACGCTTTGGGTTTAGAGGGTCTTTTAAAGGAGAATGAATCAAAACTAAACCAGCTGCTGTTGAGTCAGTTCTGACTCATGGCAAACCCATGTGTTTCAGAGCAGAACTGTGCTCCCCAGGGCTTTCAATGGCTGATTCTTCAGACGCAGATCGCCAGCCAGCCTTTCTTCTGACAAGTATCTGGGTAGACTGTAACCACCAACCTTTCAGTTCGTAGCCAAGCACTTAACCATTTGCACCACCCAAGGACTCCTTAAAAGGCGAATAGATGGTCATAAATTAGTAATACTTACCATATATTCTAACTAAAATATGCCATACTTCAGAGTCCTCCCAGGTAAGTCTCACATCGCACCAGCTTTAGGACTTCACTTTAAAAAAGTATTAATGAACACAAAGCAAGTCACCTTACCCAGCCCTTCTTTGTGTACCAGTCTGACTTGGTTGTCAGAATTCCAGAATGGGAAGGGGTGGGAGGAACCTCAGCCATCTCCTAGTCCAACCCGTTTCTCATTTGACAGTTGATGGAGATAATTTCTAAGCACTCATGATTTTATCAAAAAATGTTCCCAGGCTTTTCAATGTCCTAAAAAGACCAAGGATCCATCCCCAACAAAAAAAAAAAAAGTTTGACCTTATAGAAACTGCTATTGTTGTTTGAAATAAGTTTCCTTAACAGTATCTTTTACCCTCTATCCAACAAAGATTTAATTTTTAAAAAAAAAAAAAGCAAGCAAGCTCTTAGGTTCCAATTTTAAATAGAAACCTTTATTTACAATGACATCCAAAACTATCAGCAAAGCAGTCATAGCTTACCACCAAACCATCTCATAAGTTATCCCATGTGGTCTGGAGTCTTTGCAGTGTAAAGAATGATTTAGCCTTTTTTTTCAAGCGACACTTAATGTAAACTTGATTGAAACAATTCATTCTCGATACTACAAGTCAATTCCTGAGAATTTAAATATTGCTCCCAGAATGACATTTCCATCTTCTTCAAAATTCCATATATTTGAGAGAGAGAGAAAGAAAAAGAAAACACCCTGCTCATAATTAAACAGTTTGCCTCAGAGCTGGAAAACAGCTCTTGTTCCCTTGCAGGGGAAATTTTCACCTACTCTAAAGGTTTTGCTCCACTGAATCTCTCACTTGTGAACAAAACTCATGGCTTCTGCAAATCAAAAGGGAACTGGACAGGCATATGGGTAACTGGCAATCCATTCTGTTTACTTTCCAGCTGAAGATACTTCTGGATCAAACAAATTCTATGACAGCAAACCAATTATCTCCTGTAGAACCCTACCCCTATGTACCCCCAACTCACCTTAGATATTAAATACTGATAAAGTAGTACTGTTTACTGATATTTATACCTTTCAATCCAGATGCACAATTTAGAAAAGTGTCACCATAACATGAACATTAACAATACAATTTCTATTTGTTTTTTAAAGGAAGAAACATGTATCTCCCTTTATATCATTTTGATCTTTATAAAATATATATATTATATACTTATATATCTTTGGATTCAGCAAAAAGTAAGTACTGGAAATATTCCACATTCTAAAAGCAAATGAAAAGATTACTTAAACCGTTCACCCAACAGATACCAAGGTTTATAGAAAAATGAGAGGAGTGGGTGGGGAGGTAGCAGTAGGAGTACAAAAAGAATTATTCAAAAAAGATAAAAGGGCAATAAAGGTAAAAACAACAAATTACCTCAAAGATTGCATCTATTAAAAGAAAATCAAAATCTTAAGTGTACACCAATAAAATGAACAAGTAGAAAATATAAAAACTTATACTAAACTTCGTTTTTGTCCATATAAAAAAGGATGCTGCCTTCCAGTTAGCCTGGAGTCAGGACTGAGGAAAAGAATCACAAAACTTTTGGGGGTTTATTTGTTTGTTTTTAATAATTTTTAAAAGTCAAGAAAGGTAAGAGCACCGTTCTATCTCTCCCCACATACATAAGACTTAAACAAGGGAAGTTCAGATACACATGACACAGCTGTGTCTAAAAAGACACAGACTCTTCCTCGGTTTGCCTCTGTCTTCCAACAAGCGCAGAATGTGTTAGCCAAAAAGTACAGGCCACTATGATGGAAGCTGACGGAGTTACCGTCTTAAATTTACTTTTGACTGGGGTGGGGGTAGAAGGGGCAAACTCATAATTGTGTACACACTGTCAGGAAAATAAAATCCATTCTAGTGATGGTTCTGAAAATACCAGATTTCACTGATTCATAAGCAAGTTAAAGAAATTAAATGATCTTACCTTCAGAGACTTCTAGAAATATTGGCTAAACATGTTTAAAATAAATTAATCTAAAAAAAAATCAACTGGCTCTCAATTATTGCTAGAAAAAGACACTGCACAGACATTTGAAATCCATAGACATTCCAAAATCCCAATTTCATTCAACTGTTTGAACCACATAAGTAACCCAGATAAAGGGAATTAAACTTGACTTTTTCCCCCTACTCCCAAATGACAACCGTAGGTGCCAAGGAGTAGCAACAGCAGAAAGTGGCAGGGGGCTGAAAAGGAGGGTGCAACGGCACCCAATTAGACTATGGCTGATTTGGGGACTGAGCTCTGTGGGAAATAACGATGACACAATTCTATCCCACAGAGACGTAGTGAGACATCACAAGAGCAGAATGACAAGACAGCAGCACAGACACTGGAAGCCACACGTGAAGGAGTCTACTTAAGATCTCAATGTGGCGAGATGTCAACGTGGGATTCAGGTCATAACAACCACAATCTAAAAGAACTAAAATGATGAAAAAGCAACATACTCGATTTTAAAAAAAAAAAAAACTATGAATTGCTATTGTTTAATTTATGGACCATTTAAAATCCAAAAGATTTTTCTTTTTTTTTAAAGATCAAATTGCTTGGTTTTATTTTTTTTTTAATTCCTGATACCTTTTTTAAAAAGGTTATCTACCCATCTCTAGTCTTTCCCCCAAAATTAACAAAGTGCTTAGTTATGGCAGAGGAATTAAAAAGAAAAAAATGCAACTGCAGACACCTAAACAAATGATCTCTTTAAAAAAAAAATTAGATTTAGATTAAGAAACAGAGAAGAGTGAGGCATCTGAGGCATCCAGGAGCAAAGGAAACGCTGTGGACCAGCGTCCCCTCCCCCAGGCTGCTAAGCTGAGGGGCATTCACTCGTTTGTAACCTCACCACGAAGAGCTTACTGAAATCAACATTGTTAAATATTCTGCTTCACAAACTCTGCAAAAATGAGTTGTTGTGACCTACAAAAAGAAGTATATACATATTTTACATAATACAGTATCTTAAAGGTCGTATTTACACAGAAAACCTATTCACAGAAACACTGCGAAATTCTGATTCAGAATGCAGTACCTGGCCTTGGGTTTGCTGAAGTTTATTTTCAAAAACTATTATTGCTCTACCATATAGGCAAAGGGTGACACCAGTACTTTCAAAATCACAGTTCTTGTCCTACTGTTTCATTTAGACAAAAAACCAGGAATGGGGTTTCACCATTCCTCAAGACCTCAAGAATATTGCATTTATCCGTTACTTTTTAAATAAAGTGCACTCGGCTGCACATTAACATGTGAAAAATTTGCTACTGCTGCAATTAAATACTGTCATCTCACTTTCCCTTCTGCAAAGCCACTTGATATCAATGACAATTCCTGGAGGTTAAGTATTACAAGACATTAGGAGCAAATGAAAATCCTAGTTAGGAGAAAGCCAAGGACAGCAAAGAATAGGGAATGAGCAATTCAACACTATAATTAAAAGACCTCAGAAATGCCAATTCCACTAGGACAAAAGGCCAATACGGGACTACCTGGTAGTGACAAAAATACTTAAAGGCTGAGACTATGTTCTTTGTCCAACACTGCAACTAGAGAAAACATGTTTTCAACGCTCATGGTTTCTCTGATGTTCTCTGGCCCACCAAGCATTTGAAAGACTTTGGATAGCAAGACAGAATGAAGTGACACTGGAGGGTTTCATGATCAGGAACACTCCGTATTCTCCAGAATTACATCCCTAGGAGGCAGAATGCCAAAAATATTTGTCTGTTAACACCATGATACATAGGAGGGGGGAAAAAAAATCAGGTAGATATTGCACTTCAGCTTAAAACTCAGCCCTGCTCAAATGACATCACTTGGAATACCCCTGACAGAGATCGAAGCTGGTCCTTTCTTCAAGGCTGGATGCCTGAAACAATGATTCTTTACCTCCTGATAATTCGAGTGCATTGTCATTTGTATAAGTGATGTCCTTGGAGGTCCTGGTGTAGAGATGTCAGCAATATTTCTGTTAGAAACCAGAAAAAACATGAGAAAGTCACGTGCTTTGCACAACAGAAAAACCCGCATGTCTGTACTCATGGCTTGCTGCATGGCTTTGGCTGATCGACTCAGATTCCTTAGATCCCATACTTCCAGAAGTATCTAATGGCCCAATGCAGTCTAACTCAACATTTTTTAAATGATTATATTTTTAAGTTAATATATCAAGTTAAAATCTACCTAGGCCCTTTAAACTGCAGCTGAGGCTTTGGTTCTCTCCAAAAAACAGGAAGAACTTTTTTTTAAAAAGGTAAGGAATGGAACCCCCCCCCCATACCTGATCAGGACCCATGGGCATGCCAGGCATGGGCATCGAGTTCATATTCATCTGTCCCATGTGACCACTGCTTCCATTGATGTGCACCATACTATAAGCCCCGGGATTCCCCTGGGGGGCAAACTGCTGCTGGGAAAAGGAGCTGTAAAGAAAGAGTGGAATTACCTCCAGACTCATTTTAGCAACTCAGGGTATGCACACAGACTATCACAATTTTGTCAAACTCAGTGAACAATAACAGAGAGAAAATGCCCTAGCAGCTTTCATTCCGTTTCTCACAGCTGCCTGTGCTCAATACCCAATGGGTATGTGCACAGAATGAACGAGTCTCACCCTGGACAAGCCAAGAGCACATTCTCTAATATGAACCCAGGATCAAAGATCACAAGTGATCTCTGTGATCTCTCCATCCCAACGAGCTTGACTAAAAAATGAAAAACAATGAATTTCCTGAACTATGGCACCAGAGTGTGAATGATATTTAAGGCCACTGCTCTTCACCTGTTCCTGGCCAGGTTGCCCGATGGCCAGCCCTTCATTTCCGAGGGCTGATACATTGGTACAGTCTGAGGATGCTGCATCATGGGGTTCTGGGAGGGACCCATTCTTGATGACATCATTGCATTGGGAGGACTAGACACTCGACCAAAGGCTGGATCAGGTTGTTGGCCCATTCCTTTAAAAAAGGTTTAAAAAAAAAAAAAAGGAGGAAATTATATCAACACTTACATGCTACCCTCCTCAGAATCAGTTTTCTGTAGTAATTTTATTTTTATTTAAAAAGAAAAAAATAAGGAGGGGGTTGGATAATAAGATATAAAGTACTACAGGATGGCTGTATCTCAGTTATTCTTGCTTGACGTCAAAATGCCATCTAGAGTGACAGGCATACTACAGAAAGGCACTCTGTTTAGATCACTTCCAGGGGAGTCCCCTCATGGGGGCTTTCTGTACAAAAGGGACTCAGATCACTCCATCCCCCTTTTAGAGGGCAGAGGAGCTACCGTCCTCATTGGGTAGGGTTGCATCCTAAAATGTAATCTCCCCCAGTAAGCTCCACTCCCCATCCCATGGTTCCTGGAACCTCTCAAAGGCTGATTATTGTAACTAATAATAAATCCAAGACACCAAGACAGGGAATTTTAAAAAAGCCTCTCGCTGACTTGACCAAGCACTGAGAGAATTTTTAAGGTTCTATTATACTGGGACGTATCAGAAGGAAAAAAACAAACTTCTAGTCCTTCCAAATAAGAGGTAAAGACATGAAAAAAAACAAGGTTTAAGAAAAATACTCAAACATGATACAATCTATCTGCCTCAATTACCTGTGCACTACAGCACTTTAGTTCTCATTATTTTGATTTATTCCTTTTTCTTGTGCAATAACAAGAGGGAGTTGGTAGTATTTCTTGTTTATTTTTAATGTGCAACAGATCTAGTGAAACTTATGTCCTTAATAATGTTACTCTGAGGAAGGCTATCTTCACTGTCAACTTTACCATAATTTGGTGGGTATGGAAACTGCTGTGGTGGAGCTTCTGGCATCACAGGTCCTGCCAAAACCCCATCCATGCTGGGGGAAGCAGTCACGTTAGGGGGTGGGCTAAAGGCCTGGGTTTGCTGTTGCTGCTGCTGCTGCTGCTGCATCATCATCGCCACCCTCTGCTGTCGGAAGTGATGACTGAGCAGCTCTCTGCTGCGCTGGGCAACCATCTGGGCATTGAGAAAGCCCTGCTAATATCCAAGAAAAGAACACAATTACACACGCCAAGCAAGAGCTAGCCAGTTTCATACATACAGTACTCCCACAATGCATTAAGAATCACACAGAGACAAAACATGCAGAGCCTTTCCTTATCATTAAGGAAAAGAGAAAGTGTCCACTTCTTTTTATGGTACAGACTTTCTGGCAATTTCGGGCAGGGAGGCAGCTGAAGAGGAGGGATCTGGAAATTACACAGTAGAGCAAAGAGACAAATCAAATAAAAGCAGTCATCAAGCCCCTCCTCAAAGTGAGAGAACATTGGAGGAAGAATCTGAGGACAAACTTTTCAGGAACTATGAAATAAACTACAAGAAGGAAAAGGGCAGAGCTGAAACGGGGGAGAAGGGTGAAAACAAGAAGGGAAGCATAAAAAGGATGCGGTTACACTCAGATAAGCAGGAACCCATTCTTCTGAAAGGAGAGGTGAAGGGCAACGAGAAGCTATTTGGAGGTTAAGGGAGTGAGTGGTCAAAGCACTGAACAAGGAAGGGGACTTTGGCTGTACCAGCTGGGAGAGACCACCTCCAAGCAGCCAACTTTTACCATCTTTCTGGACAGTATCCTAGCTTAGCCTCTACAGGATGTCTGATTATCAAGAAAATGGAGACTGTCAGCATTCCAAGTAGGCACAGACAGTGAAAACTAGGCCTTTCACAGGTGTTTATTAGTTTGTAACAATAAGTAGGAACAGTATTTCAAAGCACAGCAGAGGGTTTTACTATAGTCATCTGCCTCGTACATATTAGGAAAATCCCTTAACACTATCTCTGCTTCTGCCTGGAGGCAGAGAGGAGAACTTTAACATCACCCCTCTCACTATGGGAAAAGGTCACCTCAGAGGCTGTCCCTGAGGGGACGATTATGTATTATTTATTTTCTTCTTTATACTTCTTATCATTTTAGAATTTTACCCAGCAAACATGTGGTTTTATAATCCAGGAAGAGAGAAGTTTAGGGATTTATGATTTTAAATTCTTAAAAAGTAAGTAATAGCTCTTCTCACAACACAGCAATTAATCACAAAGGCAATTAATTTAAAAACCCACTAATCTGTGGTTTTAATGAAGGTACCGCTCCTCCTCTGTTTCCTCCCTAGTTACTAGCAAGAGAAGAAATGAAGGGAGAAAAAAATAGGTGGGGCTGCGGAACTATTTCTTTACACAAGAAACCTGGAATTACTCTATTCCTTTAACATTTACTGAGAACCAACCATGTGCCTGACCCTGTGCTGGGAGCTGGGGACATGGCAGTGAATGCAGAGAGACATGTTATATACCTGTGAGCTCACCTGAGGCTGCATCACGGGCCTCAGCATCGCAGCACCCCCAGCAGTGGGATTTTCCATTTTCATTTCAAGTGCCTGACGGCTCTGATTCAAAAACTGAGGAAAGACAAGATGGTTAGGATGTAAGTGGAGCATGTTAATGGGCCCAACACTGCTTTCCAGATCCTCAGCCCCACCCAATGAGGTTGTGACAGTATTTCCAGATCCATTAACCTGGTTACATCACCAGCTCTCCAAATCTAAACTGAACTGATATACTTTCAGCATTAACCTTTCTGAACTGTCATATGGAGCTTTACTATTTGGCACCGGGAAGAAAAATTAAAGTGTAATTTTGCAGTTTAAAGAGTATCTTCAACAGAAACTGAAAGGAATTATAAAGTCAGATTTTCTCTGGGATTATTTAGGCACTTGGAGAAACTGCTTTAACTTGATCAGAGTTAACACTGAATACACTATCTCTTCTGCTACCTTTTCCTGGGTTAACTTTTAGTGGAAAGAAATGATCAAAGGTAAAATGGTACCATGAATGCATTAAAACAGCTTTCCTAGGTATCTAAACTGACTTTCAGGAATATTCACGTACTGGAAGAAGTCTCTGGCTCACCAGATTTTAAATTTACTCATTCATCTGCTTATATGGTTCAGTTCCACCACATTTAATAATGCCGTTCACTCAGATACAAACAATATGAATAATTAAATTTTGGAAGATTTATTGTGGATTAAGGAAACAATGAAAAAATAGAAATCTCATCTTGTATATTATAAAAGAGTTCAAATCTTATAAAACATCTAGAAAGCAGAGGTTTTCATAAAAAATGCTGACATCAAAAAGGTTTAAATAGTTTAGCTTAACTAGTTAAAAAGGCCTGCCTTGAGCATTATGTTCTTTTAAGAATTACCTACATAGGATCAAACTGACAAGAGCAACTCAAAAGAGACAGGAAATTTAGGGGCAGTGAGTTTATGTTAATGAGGAACAACTCAGAAGGAGTGTGAAAACTGTTGCACAACTCGGAAGAATGTAATCAATGTCACTAAACTGTACATGTAGAAACTGCTGAATTGGTGTATGTTTTGCTGTGTATATTCCCAATATCAAAATTTTAAAAATTTAGAGAAAAAAAGGTTTAAATATTTCGTTATTAATATTAAGGACTTTAAAATAAAATATAAACAATCTTTAAGACTACAAAGTCATCAATAAACACTTTTCTCTTTTCTCCCCAAGAGCAATTCTCCGACATTTTGTACTTTTTAACCTGTACAATGGCTTATTCTTATAAAAAGGTAATCAATTCTACCACGACCACCTTCCAACATGGACCGATCTGTACAAATAAAATCTTACAGAAAAAGAAAAACAAACGGAATTGCTTTTGCTGTGAGGGATGGACAGACAGCCTGTGGGTGCTGGGCCCACCTGCCCCCTCACGTCTCCACAAGAGCTCTAAGGAACACTGTCTGAAAACAAACGAAAGAAGGGGAGGCCAAAGGGAAAGTCACTTCGAGCCAAAGTAGATCATGTGACTGGTTACCTGCTGGCCCTGCAGTCTCTGCTGAAGCTGCATCCGAAGCTGCTTGGGGGTGTTTGTCCGGGGTCTCATGATGTTGGCCCTCGGATGCATTCCTTGGAGAGGAAAACTGCCTTGCTGGCTCATCTGATTCATCATAGAGTTAAAAGATGATGATTGTCCCTGAAGATTAAAGCCTCCTTGCATTGGAGGCCCCTGTCCTGGGTATGTCTGCCCGTATAATGCTGCCTTCTGATCCATCATGACTGCTGCTTCTTGGCCTTGAAAAGGTTCCTGTTTGGGCTCCAAAGCTTGTCCCTTAAACATCAAACACAGAAAATGAACAGTGAGGTACCTCCGGGAAAGCTACAGAAAACAAATGCCTTAAAGGAGAGAAAAAAATAAAGTCAATATATGTACACAATGATGCAGAATTCCAAAAGCAAAATCAAGTTGTCTTTATTGTCTGCATCTCTGTAAGAACACACACCACATCCCATCTTTTCACAGCTCTGTCCTACTGCCTCGCACCAGGTCTCACACAGATACTCAAAAATAGCCTGAGCCAAATACCTAAAATGTATTAAGTCCCTGGAAAAACATCATTTGTTCCAGACCAGAGTTCTGTAGCAATATGGACCTCCCAAGCCAATTACAAAATAAAAACTCAATTAAAGTCACTGTGGTCAATGAATTCTCATGTAATTTGTACAAGAATGTTTTGGGAAGTAGCAAGAAACGACTTTGGTAGAGAGAAGAAAATCAACAAAAGTTCACCTCTCTGAAATATATTCACCAGTTCATCAAAGCCTATTAATGGTCATCCACCACTATCTGTATGCGGCAAGAGGAATCCATTCAATTAAGAAGTATTTATTAAGCGCCTGTTATGTGCCAGGCATTGCTTCTCTACATGCTAAGGACATGCTATGGACTGAATCATGTCCCCAAAAGGGTTAAGTAAGTCCTAATCCAAGTAACAATGAATGTGACCTTGTTTGGGTCTTTCTTTGAAGATATTATTAGTTAAGTTAATGAGGTCATACTAGAGTAGGGCAGGTCCTAATCCCTTCTGAGTGACGTCTGACAAAAGGGGAGAGCAAACACAGAGACGGGAACATACACAGTGGGAAGGCAGGCGCTATGTGGCAAGTGAAGCAGATGCGGAATCTATAAGCAGCAAAGAAAATGCCAAGGATTGCTGGCAGCCACCAGAAACTAGGAGAGAGGCATGGAAGTTTCTCTCTCAGGGCCCTCAGAAGGAATCAACATGGATGATAACCTGACTTGGACTTGTGGACTACAGAACTGTGAGACAATAAATTTCTGTTCTTTAAAGTCGCTCACTTTGCGGTATTTTGTTACTGCAACCCTAGGGAACTAAGGATATATACAAAATAATATCCCGCAGATGACAGAAAAGAGGAGGAGGAGCCTGCCATGCTAAGACATGAGGACCTGCGCCAAGTGCAGCACTCACCTTTATCTTCTTATTCATGAGGATCAAATGCTAAGCCTGCAGTCAACACCCTTGACAGCTCTTGCCTTACAGCACGCCTCACTCTACTGTATTCTGTGACACCAGACTCTCGCTTTTCCCCACTGCTCTGGCCTATCCTTCATCAGCGTTCAGTCCTAGGCCATCTTCTTTTCTCTAGCTACACTTTCTACTTAGGTGCTCTCAGCCAATGGTAACATCTACATTTTTATCTCTGGCCCAAACTTCTCTGAACTCGAATTTTGCCTATGCAAATGCATATTTAACATCTTTACTTGGATGTCTCACGCATCTCAAATTTAGTATGTGGAAAACACAAAGGTTTTCACTGCAGAATGAAGAAACAGGACCCACACCAAGATATGGTATCATGAAATTTCAAAGGAGAAAAGTTCCTAAACAGTTCAAAAGAATAAATGGGTCACATGCAAAAGATCAGAATCAGAATAGAGTAAGACTCAATGGCAACACTGCCACTGCCAGATACCAATGCCAGGAAACTGTGGAACAGTTCTCTCAAAATTCTGGGATGAACTTACCACAGCCATACATGCCAGAAGGGTAGAATAAAGATATTTTCAGACACACAAGGACCCAAAACATTTTATGTCATGAAGTAGGGCCTGTGAAGCTGAAGAGGTTGTGTTTCAGAACAAGAAAGGGGTAAATCAAGAAAGAAAATGATTTGTGATTCTGAAAACTGGGGTCCAATATAGGAGAATAGTGACAATTATAAATTTCTAGGCCTGCCTCATAAGGTCAATGTAAAACAGGGGAACAGAGAACTGTAGGAGAGAGGGAATTAATGGATTGTGTAAATGTGTCGGAACATGTGACAAAAGGTGTAAGAGGAATTTTATAGTTCTGTTGAAGTATCTGGGGAGAATTAGCAATAAAGACATAAAAAAACTAAGCAAATAAAAAGAGAAAGTAACAATTATTAACTCAAAAAATACAAGCTATACTTGGCTCAGTGATGACCCAAAATAATGTAGACACTGACTATTTAACAACAACAACAAAAGACAGACTCACACTGTGGGCACAGAAAGACCACATGGCCATACGTATGTAGTAAGCGTGGATGTGTGTTCTGAGGGGCAGGAAGGGAGAGAGAGAAATATAAATCCACACTTCTTATCTGAAATTCCAGAACCCAAAAATAGATTTAGAAAAATCTACAGTTTTCATTCACACCAAACTCATTTAACAGCAAAACCTGACATGAACTTCTAAGAGGCAATATATAATCTCCATACATCTCACTTACTATAACTATATATTTTGCTATAGAAGTAATAGCTTGTTTGATCAGAGGCTACTGCCCCAAACTATACTACTGCTCAAACCCTACCGGCGGTGTCATGTAATCTATGATATATGTACCACTCTACCTTTTTAAAACCCAAAAGCTTACAAAAAAAAAATCCAAAAGCTTCTGAATTTCTAAACATAGCTGACCACAAGGGTCTCAGATAAGCGACTACAGACCCATAGTCAACTACCATATCCAGAAGTCAACAGATACAGATTGAAGTTAATAAAGAAATAGCACCATAAGCACATTTCTTCAGAACATTACCAACACAAACATTTCCTCTAAGCAGGGGAAGGAGCCCTGGTGGCACAAGGGTTAAGAGCCTGACTGCTGATCAAAACGTCAACAGTTCAAATCCACCAGCTGCTCCCTGGAAATCCTACAGGGCAGTTCTACTCTGCCCTATAGGGTCGCTATGAGTAGGAATCAACTCGACAGGGTTTAGTTTGGTTTTTTTGGAAGCAAAGGCAAGTGACTGGTTCTTTAATAAAAATATTTCCGTGCCACTTAATTTTTAAGTTACATACATGGAATACCTTGCTAAAAACAAAAAGTAAAGCAAGTCTCATCACTACCCTGCTTACGATCCTTCAGTTTCTTCCCAATACAATAGAAAAATTCCAAACTCCTTAAGATGACTTTGTGGAACGTGGCCTCCATTTATCATTCCCAACTCATCTTACTCTATTCCCCCTCTGCTCTCACAAATTTTCAGTAACTTTCTAGTACCTCCTAGCTCTTTACTGTCTTAAGACCTTCAAGGACCTCTGAGTTTGTTGTACCTCTTCTGGAATATTCTTCCCCTAGCTCTTTGCATAGCTGGCTCCTTCTCATACTTCAGGTTTCAGCTTACATGTCATTTCCCCAAAAAGAACTTTCCTGACCATTCAAGTTAAATGCCCAGTTACTCTTTATCTCATCATCCTAGATTTAAAAACCCAAAAAATTTTAAACTAAAAACAAGACTCCACCAAAAACAAAACCAGAAAACTATCTGCAACATGTTAGACAATAGACATCCTTCAAATCGCAGCTCAAACATCACTTTTTTAGAGAAAATGTTTGACAACTCCTGCCCTAGCCGCTTAGTTGAAGTCTCTTAGTACCACAGGCTTTTCCTTCAAAATCTCTAGTACACATGCCTCCTTCTACATGTGTGGTTCCTTCCTGATGTTTGCCTCACCCAATGGGATGCAAACTTTGGGGGCAGAAATTAACTTGCTCATTCTTGTTCCAATGCCTCTGAAAGACTGACTAGCATACAGAAGACACAAATATTTGTGGAATGAAGGAATCAACAAATAAATCAATAATGAAACACACACAGTCTTGTAGATCAACAAACTAAATCTCCATTAGAAGATTACAAAAAAAGACATATAAATGGCCAATAAATATAAAGATGTTCGCTCTTGTGAATCAAAGAAACACAATTTAAAAGTTTTGTTGGTTTTTTTTTTTTTGCTTATCAGATTGGCAAAGATTTAAAAGAATAATCATGCTCAGTATTTGTTTATTCACTTGCTCAATTTGCGTCTCTGTGTATGTTCTTTGCACCTGGTGGCACAGCGGTTAAGCACTTGGATACTAACCAAAATGTTGGCAGTTTGAACCTACCAGTGGCTCTGCGGGAGAAAGATGTGGCAGTCTGCTTCTGTAAAGATTATAGCCTTGGAAACCCTATAGGGTAGTTCTACCCTGTTCTATAGGGTCTCTGTAGTCAGAATCGACTCAGGGGCATCTATCTGAGTCACGCCAGCACAATGCTGGGTAAAAGGTTATGAGGAACTAGTATTATCATACTCTGTTGGTAGCAAAGTAGCTAGTATAATTTTTCAGGAAAACAATATGAAAATATATTACAAAACCTTTAAAATATGCACCAATAATGCTTTCTCTTGGATAGTACCTAAGGAACTAGAATAAGAACAAGATGTAATTCACAGATACAACCACCACGCCCTCCACCAGACTGAGTCCAGTACCACTAGATGGTGCCCCGCTAACACCACTGACTGCTCTGACAGGGATCACAACAGAGGCTCCGGGACAGAGCTGCAGAAAAATGTAGAACAAAATTCTAACTCACAAAAAAAAGACCAGACTTACTGGCCTGACACAGACTTGGAGAAACGCCAAGAGTATGGCCCCCGAATACCCTTTTAGCTCAGTATAATGAAGTCACTTCCAAGGTTCACCCTTCAGCCAAAGATTAGACAGCCCCATAAAACACAACGAAACTAATGGGGCACAACAGCCCGGGGATGAGGACTAGAAGGCACGAGGGGACAGGAAAGCTGGTAATAGGGAACCCAAGGTTGACAAGGGACAGTACTGACATGTCATGGGGTTGTTAACCATTGTGATAAAACAATGTATACTAACTGTTTAATGATAAACTTTGTTCTGTAAACCTTCATCTAAAGTACAATAAAAAAAAAGGTGTAATTCACAGAATAGTTTATGACACTTAATATTTAGGAAGAATTTAAATTTTCATCAGTAGTAGTTGTTATTGTGTCGATTCAACTCATAACGACCCTATAGGACAGCAAAGAATTGCCCCATAGGGTTTCCAAGGCTGTAATCTTTATGGAAGCTGACTGCCACATCTTTCTCCTGCAGAGCGGCTGGTAGGTGCAAACTGACCTTTCAGTTCACAGTCAAGCGCTTAACCACTGCGCCACGAGGGCTCCTTTCATCAGTAGAGGATTAGTTCAACTATGTTTCCAATAGAATACATAATATTTGACTAGTAAAATTTTATATATATGTGTGTGTGTGTGTGTATATACATACACACACACACACACACACACACACATATAAAATATACAGCAATGTGACACAGTAACAAGAAAGATACACACACAGGCATTCTTGTGCATGGGCTCATATATATGCGTGCATGCATACACACATACACACGCTCTCTCTCATTCCCACCTTAATGCCACCTACTTGATTTACAAGTTCAGGGATGCCCAAAGCTCTATCAATTTCTTCCAGGCCTGTGGCATCTGTGTTGCTTAAGAGTGTGTGCAGCTGGTCCAGCAATGCTCTTTCATCACTCTGGCCTTCTAGATTAGAAGGTGGCCCAAGGATATCATCCAGGGAATTCCTAAGAAGTGGCCTAAAAAGACATTTGCAATCAATTTCAATGGTACTTGCTTTAAAAAAAAAAAAAAAAATTATAGTAACCGTAAGCAGTACTTTAATGTACAATAATAACTCAAATACTCCAAGTATAAATAAAGTAGCAGAGAAGAGAAAGTACAAATGACAGAATTTAAATGTAAGGTCTACAATTCTAAAACTTCACCCATCCATCTTCAACCACCGTATCTAGCATACCTAGGCGCCAATTCCACTACCAAAATGTCTATCTCAGACCCTGGATATCTGGGAGACAGCAGAGATTGGGAGGGAGGAGGGCACTGGGAAAAGGTGTTACTCTCAAGACCCTACTAGAGGTGGTATAATACAGTAGTTACATTATTTGAAAGTTAGGGAAATCAACAGAAGAAAAGATAGAAATGTTGAACTATCAATGAACTAAGTCAGGGAACCTGTCCAAATAACTTTTTGTTATACTTGGCCCACAGAGCTCATATGTCAGTAAGTATAATACTCACGAACTCCATACACCAACACCAAGGTGCCACAGTTCTCCCTCCACACACAAAACGCCATGGAGCTAGAAATATACCCTACTTCAGAAAAGTTCTGTGAACTGGAAACTATTCTCTACTGGGTAGAGAACCACTCGCCTTAAACAGATTCATGTAGTTATATCACTGTCTAGTCAATAGATTTTTTCTTTGCTTAAGTTATTGAAGAATTTCAGTTAGATTATGACCCAGTGTGGCAATAACAGGCAGCTTCTTCCATGCAAGTAAGTTACCAATGAAGAGAAATAAAAATGAAATATAAACTTAGCCCAAAATACCTGGAAAGTTATAAATAATTTTAGAAAGAAATTATCTAATCCTAAAAAAACAAATTTTCCAGGAAATTGAGGCTTGCCCTCTGCAAACCATTTATAAAGCCACTGGGAACATGTTCTTATCTTCTAAAACTGATGCTAATTTACCCCCCTCCTCATGGAATTACCATCACTAGAGACAATCATCTCACAGAGAGGCTCTCAGAGGCTGGACCTCTGAATGATCCTGTAGCTTAACAATACAGTTCTGTTTCCTCTCTCTCCCATGAATGCTTCCTCTTGC